GGTGGTTGGGGGGGCCGTGGGCACCCGCTGAGCCTGGAGAGCGGGCAGCCACGCAACACCCTTCTTCTACTCTGCCCACAACAGATCTGGACCAGCAATTCGATATTGAAGCTTTCCAGGTGTATAATTCTACTCAATGAATATTTAAATATTTAAATAAATACAGGAATATAGTCTGTGGGAGAGAAGGCTGAGATGCCTTCTAGGGATGGAAACGCTCCTCTGGGGCAGAAGCTGAAGCCTGTCCTGACTTAGATGCAAAAAGAGCAGAACATCCCCCACCATGGAAAAAAAGAAAATTAGAATTTATGCAGCTTAGATTTTTAATAATGCCAGGCTACTACAGCTCAATTTTTATTAATTAATAAAAATTAAATTATTTTAAAATTAATATTCATTTTAAACTTAAAAAATTGTTTGCTATCCTCACTCATGCAAATTTGAATTAATGCCTGTATGTATTTTTTTCTTTAAGAAAGTAAATTGTTCATGTTTGCTGTACAGCTGTGAATATACTTTGTAACAGGCTTCCAGTTACTTTAGTGACGGCAGTCAATATTTAGGGAATCTCATTTTGGCCAAGAACAGAAGAGTGGAGATATAATCAGGACTAGGAAAAATGTCAGAACAATGTTAATCTCATGGAAGTACCTGGAATTGATTTATGATAGCAATATGTAGGAAATGAGGTGAAGCAATGAGTATTCATAAGTTTTCAGATGGATAATAATAATCTGTCAATAGCTGTGGTGTGGATCCTAAACTATACCCTAAGATGAGTTTCTATGAGATAAGCAACAGCTCCTATGTGGTGCAGTGGCTGTTTGGGCTAAGACATGTCTTAAAAGTGCTGTTTTGTGCCACATGGGGATGGACAGAGGCTTTCAGCCACTCCAGAGAGGTTTTAGGAACATGAAGAGGTGGGGTATGCTTCCCTACCCCTCCTGTCCACAGCAGGCTCGAATTCAGTTTCTTCTAATCTCTATCAAGAAAGAGAAGAACCCTTGGTGCTTACCCTGCAGAAATGAGAGGTGGCACAGAGCAGCCACTCTTCAGCTGCCACCTGAACTGGTGGACACAGGGCCATGGGTGGACACAGCGGCGATGTTAAGCGGTTGGAGAGCTTCTGCGCTCACTCCTGCAGACTTTAACCTCCAGCAACGTGGTTACTCTGCCCATCATGTCCCTTGTAGCCACCAAATGTAGCAAGTCTCCTATTTTCCAAAGCAATCCTGCAGAGCCCGTGAGCGCCCAAGCACCAGGGGGGTGCTCCTCCTGGCTGCCCTGTTTCACACAGTCCTGGGGGGACTGGATGCAGGGGCAGGAGGGGGCTGCATGGCTGCCTCGGTGAGAGAACCTGCTCACTGGAGAGGAAGAGGTGCTACGGGAAGGTGAAGCAAAGCACGATGATACTAACAGAATCAGGCAGAGCCTTGAAATATTTGGTCTGTTTTACTTCTTCTCATCTCCAAAGCTGATTTCCAGGAAAAAAATGAGAATTTATGGGCAATTTTACCTTATTACAGGCATTTATCTTGCTTGATATTGAATCCCAGGTGTTGTGATGTTGAAGGATCAAAAGCATTGCAGATTACGTCTCCTGTACCTATTTTCATATGCTTTCTGTCATTCCTTAAAATCCACCCCCTGACCTTTCCTGTGTTTCCTCTGTAGGGTCCCTCGGGACAGCTGGTCGGGTTTGTAACCAAACCTCCCGCGGCATGGACAGCTGTGAAGTGATGTGCTGCGGGAGAGGCTACGACACCTCCCGCGTCAGCAGAATGACAAAATGCGAGTGCAAATTCCACTGGTGTTGTGCTGTGCGCTGCCAGGACTGCCTGGAAGTGGTAGATATTCACACCTGCAAAGCACCAAAGAGTGCTGGCTGGATCTCCCGGACATGATGCATGAGCTACTGATGCTTGAGGACCACAGCCTTCGCCCTTCCTGGTCCGTGCAGGGAACGCGTCCAAGGTCTTCTCTGCTTTTACGCCAGTTTTGCCTTTGTCTTTCACTGCACAGAAGCCGCTGAATAATTAACACAAACTCTGCAGCGTTTACTTCTGATTTCTGCGTGATAATGTTGCTGCAGAGTTGTCTGTGCACAAACTGATGCAGCTCTGGAAAGACGCACTTCTGATGGGACTCTTCCAATCAACACACAACTCTCCTCCGGACTCCTTGCAGCAAGTCATTCCTGCCACTGGGAACACAGCAGGAGGCAAAGATGGGGCATTTCTTACAAGACGACCACCAACTGCATGGGCTGAGCTCGCTCAAGCATCTTCCAAGGGATCTTGTGCTGGTCGCAGTCGTGCCCCGGATACTGAAGTGCTCAGGAGTTTGAGCATCGGTCAGTGATTCCTCCATGAGAGGAAAATCTGGGGCCAGGCTGGGTGAAAGGCTTTACGGGACGGGTGTTTGTCCTCCCCTGGCAGACTGGAGTTTGCAGTGAGGTGGCCACCTGAGGCCACCCCGGCTACCACTAACATGCTGCGGCTTCCTATGGGGCAGAAATTGGCCCATGGCAAAAATCAAAGGAAACTGCAGGAGGTGTGTTCAACCCACAGCATTTTCATAAACTGTTAGAGAGTCAAAGCAAATGTCTTTGTTATATATTTGTGAAAACTTGCCTTAAAAGCTTTTAAAAGGCCATTAATATTAACTGCTGAGTTTTTTTATGATCTGGAGGATCAAAGAGAAGAGATTTGTTTCCCAGCCCAGTGAGAGCTGGGCATAGGCCGCTCAACTACCTGAGGACAAAGTTTTCCTATTTTTCTCTTACTGATTAAGCAGAGAAATGTTTGCGGACAGCTGATGGAGAAAGAAATACCTTGTCTCAGTAATGATCGGGTTTCTAAAGAATCTATCAACTTCTATGTTCTTTAAAATTTAATAAATCTATTAAATTTGAATGATACTCAGAATATTCAGAATGGTATTCAGAATGATGCTTTCTGTTCAAATAGGGACTTAGGCAACTGAGATTTTTCACTGGATATGTTCTGCAAAAACTTACGCCCATGATTAAGCGTGCATTGGCCTTTGATGGAGGCAGTTACCGGCTGCGCCAGGTCCTTATGCTGGGCTGGGGTCTGCACAAAACAACAAAGTGCTGGAAAGATGTGCAGGCTCAGGAGTCCCAGAAATCGCAGCCTCACTGGAGAGGACCTGGGTCAGAGAGGGACCAGCCACCTCTCTGCAGAGCAGAGACCAGGAAAAGAGCCAAGACGAAAGATGGGGCTTGTGCCGGTAGGTCTACTAAGCCATTGGAAGAGCACCCATGAAGTGTGGAGACAGCCAAGGTAATGAAAAAATTACATAGGAAAAGGAGGTTGAATGGGTGATAGAATATATTGTAGGTGCAGGTACAATTTCCATATGAAAATGAGGAAGACTGGAGGAACCTTAGTGGGTACGAACAGTGGATGAAAAAACAATGCACAAGTAGCATACCATGGCGATAAAGTGAGTACTCTGGTTACGTCTGTCCTGCTCCGGCAGGGGAGTTGGACTAGATGATCCTTTGAGGTCCCTTCCAGTCCCTAACATTCTGTGATTCTGTGGTTTTAGAAGAATGGGGTTTTTGCATTCAATGGTCTTGAGAGAGCAGTCACTTACATCTGAAAGGCTTTGGAAAAACCTTGTATCATTAAAATGGGTGAGTCATCTCCGGAAGGCACAGGAAGGTGTTTATTTGGACAGTAAGATCCTGTTTCAGTTACTGTACACACCATTCATGTAATGATGACAGCTAGAACCAAGAACAATTATGCTTCTAGGGGTAAACCAGCTGCTGGTGGGAATGGCCCTGCCAGCGTGTCCGTGTGCAGGACATACGTGTATATACGTATGTATATACACAGCGTGTATATACATACGTATGTATGTTCAGTTCAGGGCTTCTGTTGTTGGCCTCTTACTGCTGGCAATTCTGGCGCTGGGCTGGATAAGGCAAATTTCATGCCTAATTGGACTTAAAGGTGAGCCCCAAGGAGAATTTTTATTAGGATTTCATTGTGGAATTAAATCTGCATGTAGTTCACAGCCAGAGCAATGTCACATTTTAAGCCTTAAAGAACTTAAAAGCAGTATAATATTTTTGATATTTTTTTTTTGTACCAGGTGTTTTGAAAGCTTCAGGGACCTTTTAAGTAGTTTGCAAATTCATCATGTAATAATGCAGAAAATATTTCAATGTTCTGGAAAAAAGGAAACCTCGTTCTTACAAGGGAACTTGTTCTAGGAAGTTGAATAAAAGGTAATGGAATCAGATTGCTTTTTAGCACCATCATTTGGTTAATACACCAGAAAACAAACCCATCTGAATTCTGGATTCCTAGGTAGAGGTTTGGGCGGTCACTGTATTAAAGGTGGAATCTTTATTCCCCAACCTGGTCCTCCTCCTCCTCTACCAAGGTAGGTCTTCTTGCTCCAAACTTTCCCCTGATCTCAGGGGCCTGTGGTTCCTGAAGGCTGGTCTTACCAGTAAGACCAGAAGAATGGTGGCATCGAGTACCCTGGCCTTTCTGGTGTCCTTTGTCACAAGATCCCTGTCCCGTTCAGCAACGGGCCCACCAAACGTGGACAGCAGGCTGGATTTTATATTCCGCACAAGTGCCATATTAACAAGCTGCAATGCAATCCTCCCACCAAACCCCTTCACCCGAGGAAAACCACAGTATTTTGCAGCACAACAAATGCATAACAGCTGAGCTAGCCAATTATTTGATTACATTTTTTGCTGTATTTATGATTTTTTTTTAAAAAAAAAGAGCTCAAGGTAGACTTCTTATAGCTGTAAGCATTTCTGCTGCTTCTTCCATGAAGAAAGCTCTCCCAGGAGCTTCTGCAATTTCTTGGTGGGAAAAGACACTCAGAGATGTAAATATTGCTAGCAAAGGCACCTCCATGACCTTCAGCTAATCAAATAAAGAATAAAAAGGAGGGAGGGAAAAAAGAAGAAAGAGAAATCAGGCAAGGCAAATGAAATAATCCTGTATTTTGTCCTATGGAGTGAATTTATTCATATATTTAGTCATGAAGAGAAAACAGCTGCCCTTTAGGTAGACACTCTAGTGTCAGAACAATATTAGATGAGGTAAAAGGTTGTAGAATTTATTATTTTTTTTTAACTATGCAGTCCAATTTTCTTGAGGGAGTTCCCTTTAATTTGCTGCATGAAATCAGAATCTAGCAGCGCTCTGAAATGCTGTTAGCCTGCCAAGCTTTTTGGGATTGCTCCCTCCCCACTATTTGCCTTTCTAACAAACTTTACCCTGAAAAGCGTGTTGAGCTGTTTTAGCAGAAATCTCATGAAAAAAGTGTAATTTTCTTTTACCACATGGAAAATGGGGAGTGACTTTTGGGAATGGTGGCATATGTTAAGGCATGTGGGTGTCACAGCTCGAGATGTTGTTGTGTTGCTTGTTTTTTTTTTCCCTGCAAAAATATCTAAACCCAATTTGTGCGTCTCGCCCTTCTTGAGCAGGTGACGGCCACCTCTGAGGGCAGAGGTGGTTTCGTGGTCACATATAAGAGCCTGCAGGTTTCTCCTGCCGCTTCAAACAACGTAAGTGAACTTGTACTATTATCTGAAAGACAGCAGCAGTTCATCGGCTGTGATCACAAACACAGGGTTTGGGATTTTTTTGGTGTAACAGCTTGTTTGCCTGATTAAACAGGTATGACTTCACAACTAAGATCTTCTCTTGTGTGAAAGCAGCAAACCTATATGAATCCATATATTGACTGCTCCTCCTCCGTTGTTCCAGGGATGCCCCTCTGCTCCCTCAGCACTGGGAACTGGGTGGGAGTACTGCAGGAAGCGGGTGGCACGTGGGGATGGGGGCTACCTTGCACACTGTGCCTTAACTACCGCCACCGAAGTGTCCAAGCCCTCCATGCGGTGACAGCCACACCGGGTGGGAAGGGATGTGCGCGGTGTGTGCGAGGGATGCAGCTTCCTTCAGACATTTACCTTCTGTAAGCTTCTGCAGCACAGGAAAACACCTGATATTCTTCTTCCTTTCTAGCAGGGTAAGGACCCCTGTGCAATTCTGCTGAAAAATCCAAGTCTGTTTATTTGGTGTTCACACCCAATCACAGCAAACGATTAACCACCAGAGAGAACAGCCTTCCCCAGGTGCAGCACTCACCTCTCCGAGTATGGCTCTCTCCTCGGAGCAGTGGTAAATCCAGCCGGTGGGAGGGCCAGAAGGTGGCCAGGAGGACTTACCTGACACTCCTGGGGGAGGGGGGAGTCTCACCTTTTTTGTTCTGTGCAGGTTACAGTGTAAAGAGATAGTGTGCATCCCAATTGTACTAGGCTGGTTTTAGAGGAAAAAAAACAGGACCTGTGAATATTTGGGGTTTAAAGGCTGCCCCCCTCCTAAATCTGCAAACTGAAGATTCCGATGAGTCACGATCTGAACTAGATTTCCAGAAGGCTCATCTCCGCACTAAGCCAGAGGCTTTCCATCATTATAATCACAGGCTGTGTTCGCCTTTTGATCTAAGCCTTGCTGAACTTCACAGGAAACATGTCAGAGGCAGAAAAGCCCACGGCAACAAACTCTGCCCGATGAAAAAGAAAATCCTTTTGTCTGACTTGCCTAGTCTCCCAGATGCCTAGAATTATAATTAAAGCTAAGGAGATATTTTCTAGATAAAATTCATGGCTCGTTACAGCTTATAAGGGAGATGGATATTAGAAACAGAATTGCATAAATATATTTTTGAGTTCCTAGAAGTTCCCCCATAGGTCAAGTGAAGGATCTGATTTTTTTAGGAGTCAAGCATTCCTTTTTAATAGATTATTACAGATAACAATGCCCACCCAGATCATTAACTCACATTATCACTTCCTCTAACAGGCCAAACTAGTACCTTGGCTGCTGAAAAACGTGGACATTTGTAGGTAGGTAGACATACATTGATACGTAAATACATTTACATACCGGGACTGTTAATATCGCAGCAATTTCTTCTTTTGAAACGTGGGGTAGATATAAATGAACTTTGAAAGGTTCTTGAGGTGGCTGGGAGTAAGTGACACAAAACAGCACAGGACAGCAAGAGCTGACTATGCCTGAACCGTCTTGATTTTCACCAACCTTAAATAATTCTGACAGCACCATTGTGAGGCAAACAAACAAATCCCTACAGCCTCCTTTCAGATATTGCTCTCTACAGCTACCTGAAAGGAGGTGGTAGTGAGGTGGGTGTTGGTCTCTTCTCCCAAGTAACAGAGGACATGGCCTCAAGTTGTGTCAGGGGAGGTTTAGATTGGATATTACAAAAAATTTCTTCATTCAAAGGGCTGTCCAAGCATTGGAACTGGCTGCTCAGGGAAGTGGTTGTGTTGTCATCCCTGGAGGCAGTTAAAAGACGTGTAGATGTGGTGCTTAAGGACATGGTTTAGTGGTGGACTTGGCAGTGTTAGGTTGACGGTTGGACTTGGTGGTCTTCAAGATGTCTCCCAACCTAAATGACTCTATGATTCAGTGATTCCATAAATATCATTATCCCTAGTTTTACAGCTAGAGATACAGAGCACCTGCTGTAAAGGAGTTCTCTGTGTCTGTTGCAGCAATTCAGATGCAAAGCTGAGAACACAAACATTGGCCCATTCCACACTTCCACATGCTGTGTCCACTAGCAATCCTCTGCCTCTGATCTTATGCCACATCCCACATTAAGTGTGAGCCATACTAATTTCAACATTACAGCAAATTGTTTTGCAGGAATAATGGCCAGAGATGAAGAACCTGTATGGAAATCCCCAGCAGTGACACACCTCACCAGTTTTAACATTTAGCCATGGGGCGCTCTGATCTTCTACGTCCTCCCTCAGACTTCATCCTTACAATTTATTTCTCCTGGTGTAGGGCTGGCATTTTTCTCATAGCACAGCAGTGTTTGCTTTAAAGCAGTACCACTGCTCACGTGGACAGGCATCTTTCCTCTCCGTAGCCTAGCATATCTGTGATCGAGAGAAGAAAAAATAATGATGTGATCCATCGCCTGCTGTTAAGAAACACTTTCCTGTCATACAAACTCCAATAATGGGAGTTTTGTCTTTGCCCACTCAGTTCCTCATTGATAAAAAAACTTACCTGCCGGTGATCACACCCCCTCAAGCTCCTCAGCATTTTTTAGAAGAATGGCAAAGTTGAACTGGCAAAGTGGTATTTTTGATCCGCTGCATTGGGTTGATACTTCCTTATTTGGGAGAGGAGTCGAAAAAAAAAACAACCCCTTGAGGCATCTGGAAGGATGCACTTTCAATTCCTGACGGGCAGGAATATTTGCTTCAACTTCCAGATCAAATTCTTGATCTTAGAGTTGGCCTCGTGCACTCACAGAGGTGGCTGCAGGAAGTTTCATCCACAGTGGCCAAGCTATCAAGGAACGCTTTGTCTAAACCTCTTGCAGCACAAGGGCAAGATTTCCCGAGGTAAGCGCTAATGACGAAACACCAACCTCTCTATTAATCGTGCATAAACGAACACCAATTTTGCTAACGAGCTTCTGGTCTCAAGCAACAGTTTACAATGCTGATGTTTAATCTGTACAGGAAAAAGTACCCGCCTTTTCGTACTGGAGAAGTACGAGTAATGCAGTAAAAACTCAGCAAGCAATACGTAAGAGCACAAACGCAATCATCACCCACTACAGGTACATTTGCCTTCAGTTCGCTGCCATTACTTATGCTTTGCTCTTTGTGCAGAGAACAAAGCACGCAGCTGCTTCTGGAGGTACCTGAAAGAGCAGCGGTGTGAAGAAAATCTGCGAAGTATGGGGACTTTCTGAGAACTCAAATGAGGATAAAACTCACCTCTGTGCAGGGATGGGAATCAGAAGCCCAGTGTGGCATCCAGATTGCCTGGAGAGCCTAAAGCTGCTTTGAGCAAGAGCTCTAACTATTTAGGAGCCTCGTCCAGACTGTCTCTAGCAGGAAGGGCTTCACCCTAATTGAACTCCGTAAGAGACAACGATGCCATTGCTCAATAGTGTTTTTCCATTGACTGAACAGAAAGCCAAGCCCTAGCTGCAGTGAAGCAGATGATACACCACACGTGTTTAAGAACACAAAATACAATCTGAGCTTTGAAGAAGCAGCCAAAAGACAGCAATACTGCAATACACAAAAGTTTATTTTTAAGTTTTTCTTTTCTGAAGGCAAAATATAATAGAACCTAACATCAATGTATTTTGTACAACAAAACAGTTTTCATATGAGAACAGACAATCCATGAAGAGTTTTTAAGTCTTAGAACTGCTTCCCTTTTTTATCATGCTTTCTTGTGGTCAACAAAAAGTTGGCACAGAAGATGTCATGGCAGTCAGTCAGCAGGCGTGCTCCCTCAGATCCTTGTCAGCTGGTGCCACAGACTGGAGGGCAGGATACTTTCTACTTTTTCCATCACAAAATTTAAAGGGGCAAAGAGGGTGCTGAGAAACTGCAAAGAAATCAGATACACATTCAGATCAAAATTTGGGAGACAATACACACTCAAGGGAAACCTCATCAATAAGACAAGAAACGCCTGCTGCATTCCTCTGTAAAACCCTCTGCCATGATAAAAATTATGTATTTCACATATGAGGACTTCCTGCCAAATTCTGAGCCTTGCATACATACAGATTTCTGGATTTTGCAGAGAGAAAGAGCCCCATTTTTATGAAGATCAAAGTGATAAACTACAACAGTTTTCACAAGTCTCACATCCTAGATTCAGGCTCATACTGAAGCCACTAAAAGCTCAAACTAAAACCTACTGAAGGGAGAGAGAGGCTTTTTCATAATGGCAGAATCTGTCAGACAACCTTTCAGGGACAAAAAGCATGTCTTTAGATTCAGGTTTTAAATGGTTCTGGGCTATCTACAGATCTCCTATATACACTGAGGCATCATTAACTGGCATTTATCTTAACCTCCTCCCTCTAGGACAGAACACAGTCGACAATTTTGAAAGAGGTTTCAGTATATTAATGTTAGAACAGGCACATGTGACAAAAATCAAGTGAATAGAGACCACCTGATCACAGGAAAAAAACACTGCCAGCTACACATCTCAGGACTCGGGTAATCAAAGCACTCCCAAAATTTGGGGAAATACATGTTAACTGTGCTTTACATTAATTGCAATTCAACTGCACACATTACATACAGCGATGTTGGAGCCCTGTAATTGTATGAGAGAGCACAGTAACATGCAGAATCAGCCACCTTGAGACTGGGAACCCTGTGGCTTCTAACCATTTAGGCTGATGTGACTTTGCTAAAAATAAACAGCTCTGTTTGGAACTGATCAGCAAAGAGCTGCAAGAGGTTTGTGTTTCTGCTACTGCTCTGCAGTCAGCACAAAACATATGAACTCCATTTACTGCACTGATGTGTACATTAAGTCTGCTTGGAAGGCCACTATTAAAGCAAATCTAGTGCTGGATGTATTCTCCTTTTTGCCTAAAACTGTCCTGACAAAAGAGAGCATCAGACTTTATATATAAACACATTTACATCCCTCTTCATGTTCTGAATTTGTCCCATATCTCTTTAGGCACTTAAAGGATGCAGACATGGGGGTCTGGTACCCCTGTAGTCACTGAAGAGAACTAAGCACTTTCAGAGAGTAATTCTACCCATCCCAGGACCAGAACTGCCCTTCGAAATTGTCTCTTCCTTCTCCACCCCCAGCTGCAAAGGGAGCTGGAGTGGTTGGGCTTGGTCGTCTCCCATGGAGCAGGAGGACTGCGGCACAGTGCGGGGTGCTGGCCTAACCCAGCCACACTCCTGAACTGGTAGCACAGCTCCTGGCACAGTTCTGGCCTGTGCCAGTCAGTCTGTCCTCAACAAACCCCACGCAGAGTCTGGGGATGGCACAGGGCAGGGACAGTTCCCGGCAGCCAGCGAGGATGGGGACCATCCTGCCTTTGAAGGGAGGAGAGGTTAGAGGTACAGACGCAAACTGTCATGCGGCACTTGCCTTCGGAACCACAGAAAAAACAGTATTTTATTACTTGACATAGATGTGCCGTTGGTCTCTAACTGGGGCTCCTAAGTATCTAAAGCTAAGTAAGAAAAATACAATTTAAAAATTCTTACAGGTCTATGTTCTGCTGAAACACAGCTATATATGGCAAATGCATTTAAAATGTTTCAAAATTTCGATATCCAACAGCCAGAGATTATAACCACTGCATGGTATCAAGCAAGAAAATATCTGCAAACAGCCTCATCGTTTACCAGAAAGGGCTCTGTGCAGAGCTGATCTGTAAAAATGTATGATGCGTATGATAATTATGCATTTTAAAGGCAACAGTAAGCATTCATTTCCTCTTAGACATGTTTGCATATAATACGGACACTAAATCAGGGACAACTTGTGCACCAAGGGAAAACCAGGTAACACCATCACCGGTAAGGAGGTTTTGCCATAAGCACAGGTCAAAGTAAAAACTTCCAACTGAAGCTGAACAGAGTATTTCAGTTGCAGTGCTGAAGGTCAGGCTGTACGACATCAATCGCAGCTGAATTAGCGTAACCCCGACTTACCTCATGGCAGAGTTTGCTGTTACTGTTTCAAGTGGCTTAGCCCAAGCAGAAGCACTGTGGCTCGCTAAGCTGGGAACTGTTTAAGTAAATATGTCCCTTTAATTCTGGCAAATGCAAAAGCCTCACTAGAGGATATTGTCTACTCTTTGAGTAGCACTTGATCCATGTGGTAAGCTTGCGCCATCACATCTACTTGGGTTAAAACTCACCTTTGTAACCAGTGCAAATTACGTATTTGTTAAATCCATGAAACAAGAATAATTTGCCTGACAGTAAGTTTCGTTGCTGAAGCAGCCGACGGCACCCTGTAACAAACTCAGCAAAGTATCTGTGGCTTAAAAACGAGCCAAGTTTTTCTCTGCCTGAAAAACTGGTTTATAAAATACATCTAAATTCATGGATACCAAAGCCTGTCTTCACCGAAGTCCAAGCAAAACCTTTGCTGACAGGAAGAGGTTCAGGATGCTGCCTACTCTCTTGTACAAGCCCATGTGAACACCATCTGTACTGGGGCTATCTGGTCCTTGGAAATCTCCTGGTGCTCCTGTCCGCAGACACCACTGGCAGACGCCTATCCGGCTTGTTTGCCACACGGTAGCACCCAGGAAGGCTTAGTCTGCATCATATTTTTTTTTCTTTTTTTTTCCTTTCTTTTTCCTTTCCTTTGACACTGACTGTTTTTTTTTCCACATGGAACAGAAAATACAGCACCAGTGGCAGAGTAAGAATCCAGGGTGGTAGAACTGGTGATGGGAGATCTGTAAAAAGTTTGCTATTATTAGTTTGAATTTTAAAAGAAAACGTTCAACCTGGCTATTTCAAAGCTGGCAGAAAGCAGCTTTCTGAGAGCACCTTCTGAGGAGCACCATTTGATTAAAACAGGCAAAAGTGTCTTTTTAAGCTTTTCCACTGCATGGCTGGTGTTTGCATGGAGGACCTGCCTATTTATTGCTCAGTCCCTGTGACCTGATCTGTATGTTCCCTATCTCAGCATCTGCAGAGGTCCAAGCAGATGAAACATCTCCCTGGGCAAACCTGCTTGCTGAACTGAGGTCTCATCCATCATACAGGAAATACTGAAACAGACCATGTCAGTGATCTCAGGCAAACACAGGAATCAAATCACATAAAAATTAGTCTTTCTGAAGTTTCATTCATTTAAAAAATTTAACTAGACATTATGCTTTTAGACACAACTGTGGACTCAAATTACATAGCGAATCCCTTGTTCATACAATTCTCAATTTTAGTTAAGATACATTCTTATTGCTACCATGTTATGAAAGGACCTCCACTTAAATATTTTCAACAATCTTCCAGATATTGTTATATTTCTGCATGACAATGAAAGAGATTTAGTAATATCTACACTATGTTGACAGTTTTATCCAAGCCATGCAATCAGAAATTTGTTCTGCTTGTACTCACATCTTAAGTGACCTCCAAAAGCCTTTTATTAGAAAGCCTAGCAAAAATTAAAACTGCAAGCTATGAACAATGCTCCTCCCTAACTGGGTGAAAATGCTAAGATCTACTGTCATTTTAAAGTTACTTATATTTAGTCTAACAAAAAAATCAAAGAAGAACTGGATTCTTCCAATTTCATTACGGGAAGAGTCAAGCTTACTTCCAGGTATAACATGACAGAATTGGCTGGATGCAGTTGGGAATATCTAAACTTGCTGCTGAACTGGCAGGCAGCATTCAGAACATGTTCTGGCTCTAAAATATGAGTCCACTGATGGAGTCTGGTGAATTCCATCCTCCGTTGAACCTCCCAGAAGAGAAGAGTAGCTTTAAAATACCTTTGATTTGATGCAAGAACTGTTGCTGTACCAGATCTCTATCACTCACAAGCCTGGGTGGTAGAAGAGCTGGTTCACCTGCAAAGGGAGCCTCTCGCCATTTGCAAAGGAGTTTGAGAAAGTACTAACAATCTGGAATCTGCCAAAGCTTTTCAGCCTTGCCTCCTCCACCCCATCCCCTACGCCCCCCAAAATTAAAAAGCACCAAAGACATTAAACACAAGGCCAGGAGGCTATTTTGGAAACAGAAGATCTACAAGAGATACAAATATATTTGAGAAAATATATTACAACAGAGGATATTCAGTATTTCTTGGAGAAGGAGACAGTTTTTTTTATTATCCTGGAACTTTTCTGTAAATGGATTTTTCATATCCCAGCACACTGGAGCAGTGATGTTCCTAATTTCGCAGAGAAAAAAGTGTGGTTTAGCATAATTCATGGCCCTTCCCTCTCATCCTCCAACATCTATTAATCCTTGGTGGATTAAAAAAGCAGAGTCAGCAGAGACCTCCCTGGGTGTAGTGAAGAAAAGTTATGAGAGAAATACTGAGACTATTTCCTTCATAGCAGTTTTGGGAAAGAACATAGAAATTTGCCCTGGTTAATGGTACACTGTTTCTGCTCACTTTAAGAGCTTCTATTGCACTGGAAAGCACGGCACAGACATTATGGCCCTGCACAAAACAGAGGGGTTCTGCAAACAATTCTTACATTTATTTTATCAGATTATATATGAAAACACAGATATTCCCTTCTCCCACCAAGCCTTTTTTGGCAAAAATCACAAGAGATGTAGCCTAACAAGAGAGCCATATAAAGCAGAGAAGACAGGCAGCAGTGTGTTTTACTGATTAGGTCCCTTAACAGTTGTTCAAATGTCCCCCTGCTCAGACATCTCTTGATGTTTTATTTATATTACTGAATATCCAAACATTTAATACCCAGCAATATTTAGCTCAGCTCTTCCTGCATCTGTGCCTTTATTTACCAGAAGAAAGCAACAGCAGAGAATACTCACAGCTTTTGCGAAGACCCCCATGAGCTCTGGGAACTGATGTGTCAGGAGGGCCAGCATGGCTGTGAAAGAACATAGTCCAGCAGTGAAGAGGATGAAGAAGGGAAGCTCTTTCTTGGGGTAAACTGAAACTTCATGAAATGCTGTAGAAGAAAAGATGGGAAGGGGAATGCATTATATGTAAAGAAACCCAAAACAACGAAACCTCAACCAAAAGCAAACCAGCATTCTCACATGGATTTAACAGCCAGAGACACCCAAAGATACTTTTGAAGGAAGAAACATATAGAAGGTCTGAAACATCTAAAGGCCAACATTGTTGTTGTGTCGGTCATCTCACTGCCAAGTAATTCTCATCTAAAGATCGTATTTCTGGTCCTATGTACATGCTACTTTTCCTTCCTTGTGTCAGCACTAACTACAATGCAGCTGTGCAACAACTAGCCCCAGAAAACTAACCTACAAATAAAACATCCAGGTTTTTTACGGTGTTTGTTAGTATACACTAAAAGGAATACAGAAATTTCCTTGACTCTGGTATGAAAAATCGCTCACTGGGCTTTGGAGAAAGCAGCACTGAGAAGGCTAAAAGGGTCAGAAGATGATGATGGGTATTTTACTGGAAGAATAATATATCCCTTAAACATTTATGGTGGCTCAGATTCAAGGTGAAAATTTAGCTGAGCTGGCAAAAGGTCTGGTGGACTCTTATCTGTCTGCTTCACTCATTCAGTCCATAGTTTGGAGCTACAGTCACAATAAATGCAAACTTTGAAACATTTTTTCTCATAGAGGACCAACCTCAAGGCTTCCCATATACTCAAATCCTATGACTATTTAGACACGCAAAACATTACTCTTCCATTTTGCCTACTTTCTTTGCTTCAGTGACCAGCTCTCATCTCATCATACTTGCAGACAACGTAAGCACAGGGTAACGCAGCAACATGGCAGGACTGCATTCGTCCAGAGTGGAGGGGTTTCCAAAACCAACAGCA